TATTTAAAAGTTTATAAAATATAAGAATTAATATATGTGTACCTAAGGGTATACTAAAATTTTTTGTACCCAATATAGCACTATGTAACAATATAATGCACCCCTGATCACAGGTATATAAACAGTGATCTTTTTTTTTTAATTGGTTTTTTTGTTTTGTTCTAGCCCCATACTAATCTAATTTTTTTTTCCAGTCGAATAGAAACTTGGCTCGTCATTTTAGTGCCGCTTCTGAATTCACATCGTTACTTTTTGGTGTCATCGGTGTTGTTGTTTCACTTTTGGTGCCATTGGAGTTGTCGTTCTTGGCATCATAGACTTGTTGTCTTGCTATTAGAATGTGTGTTGCTGAATTCGCATCATCGCTTTTTGGTCTGTAAACTTATTGTCTTGCTGCTAGAATGTGCGTTGTTGTTTTGTGGTGTCGCTGTTGTGATTTTGGAAATTTTTGAGCATTTTGTATGTTGCCATTCTGGGTCTCGTTTTTTTCTCTTGGGTGGTGTCATTTATATTATTTGTACTGATATTCTTTGATTTGTGAACATAATTTTCTAGGGTTTATATGATCATGAAGCCAACAATGGGCTTATTCAAAGGATGATTATATTTACGAGTTGGGTTGGTTCTTCGGTAAGCAACTTTCGTGTTAGTTCTGTTTCTTTCTTCTATTAACACTATCACTAACTAAATCTTTTTCTTTTAACCACGACCAATTCGGCACATTGAACGGCCAAAAACTCTTATATTGCTTACAGTTGTTATCATTATTCCGAATGACTGTACATGGGTTTTAGTTGATTTATAAGTTGAAATATACGTAAAATATGTAAAATACTAGAAGGCTTTAAATGACTCTATTTACGGTGCAGCAGTGACGATAATAACAGATAACCAAAAAAAATTTAGAAGGGCTAGCAGTTCAAACAATTGCTAATCACTTAGGTGTTAACAGGTTTTCAATAAATTGAGTTCTTAAACGATTTCAAAAATTTGGGTATGTTGAAAGACTTCAGAAAACCACATCTACTAAGCTTGAATAATATAAAATACCTTAAGATTTTAATGGAAGAAAAGCCTAAATGATATTTATATGAGTTACAATCAGAAATAGAGCTTGGTTAAGATATGAAAGTAGAGGCTGTTGAAAGCCTTGTAATGTTTTATGTGTTTCACATATGTTTCAATTCATAAATTGATTAGTAATCACATGCTGAAATCAAACTTGTTGAATCGGCAAGAAAGTCATTTGGCTAACTTTTTTATAAGTTGTCCCAGGAATGATAATATTATCACTATACTCAATATCGGGCCAGGCAATGTGAACTTTTATTTTGTATAGCATTATAGGATAGTTTAGATGTGCTTTATATAGAATACATTGTATTACTTTTAGTGTAGTTATTTTAAAGTACGATGTTCAATTTATTTTAAGCGAAAAGCCTGAATAAGTTTAATAAAATCATTTTTTCTAACAACTTTAATCTATCTAACTATTCTGTTATGTGCCATTGTTCAAGTTATAGATTTTTTATATCTGTTATTAATTAAATAAGGGGATCACTAAAGCAAGGTATCTATGTGATTTTGCCATTTTTTAATTAAGGGTTAGTTTTGTGTTAGAGGTTAGGGTAGATATATATATATAATTACCTTTCTACATTTTTTATTAATACTACAAAACAGGTTTAGACTGCCATTTTTATATTTTGGGGCACAGCATATACATGCTTTAATGCACAGCAAAATAGCCAAAATTAAACTAATCAACACAGTGTGGCCGGCATTATAGTTAGGTTTAGTATTGGGTATGCAAAATTAGTCATACATGTGCTGTGTTGGTATATCTTCTCTATATTATCTTCCCCAGTATCGACACCAAACAATGCAGTCATATAATGACGATAAAATTCTTGAGATTTGTGTTAGTGTTATGCTCCGGTTAGGCGTTAACAGAGGTATAGTAGTAAAATCGCCCAAGAAAATTTTTGCTAGTGCACTAAAGGTGGTTTTTCTATGAATTTTTGAGTTATGAGTGACTTTGGGCAAAATGAACATTTGTTTTGATTTTTTCTGATCATTTAACGTTATATCTAATTTTGAAACCTTATTGGTTTGTACCACAAAACATATGTAATTATGTTTTTTGGTAGTAATACTGGGTTAGTTTCTATTATTATTATATACATGTGACTAGGGTACATGTACCTTAGGGTATATATATATAAATCCAAAATATAAATATTCAATTTACAGTAATCTAAGTATTTGAATTAATATATTCATTAATATTTACTTAGTCAACCCTTATATACATCAAATGGGTTGATATGTATTAATGAGGGTTGACAATATAATTCATTTATTTGCAACATAAAAAATGTGAAATCTCATCAAACAATTTTTTTATAAATATTTACTATTTAATTTATCTTATCCGCATTAAGTATAGAAAAATTTATTTAATCTAAGTAATTAAAAAAAAAAAAACTATTTAGGTTTATTGTGGTGGCTTATGCTAAGTTTTGAGATCCTTATTTAAATTTATAATATCTACTAAATTTACATATTTTTTATTAATAATACGAACCTTAAACCTTAATATAACTGTAAAAAAAAACATAAAAAGCTTTCTAATTTCATAATAAAGTAAGAGTATGTGAATATACAATTGCTTTTTAGAACTTACTATTCAATTATAGTCAGGAAACAAAAGTTTTTATTCTGTACATACGTATATATCATACAGCATTTTCTTTTTTATAACCTTCTTCTAAAATTGTTAACTATTATTTATAGGCTTTTTGTGAGTAAATTTGACGAATGGTACGTATAAACATTTTATGAGAGAATCAAGGTAAAGATTAAAAGTTGAACATTCACAATGGGTAAAAGATAGTGATTTAGTTGATTCTCCACAAATAGAAGATGAGATCACATTAAATTGACTTACTACCAGTAGTCGAACTTCTTCAAAATTTGGGGTAGTTTACAAACTATCGTAATAATATAATTACCGCTATATTATATAGTAAGCAGTTATTATTGACTTATATATTATACTGAAGGCATATTATTCACTTACTTTGTATCTCATTCTAACCTCATACACTTATATTTGCTGAGTGCGTATATTTGACAATTTCTTTATTCTATATCTTATATCCCTATATTTGTTAACCTATATTATCTGACACTCTTCTAGTTTGATAGTTATATTGATAGATACCCCGATCATTATCTAATTAATTATGTTATCATACATGTATAAGCGATAGTGCTTATTAATTATTTAAATCTTATGAGTTAAATTG